ATTTCCAAAGCTCCGTCTTGTCACGTCCTTGCCACGTTGTTTGTTCCGTTAATCATAGCAGTCCATTATTCCTGACAGACGGCTGTTTGCTTTGCAGCTGACCTTTCTACATGCCACTGCAGTCAAGAGACAAACTTGCGAGTTGAGAAAGTTTCTCAGGTCAGAGCCATTTGGCCAGTTTTGTTGGTGAATGACTCTACGACTCTTTCCCTGGCATCCTCGCGTTGTCCCTGACTCACTCTGAATCCTGTCTGAAAAGAGACATTTGTAAAATGAGGCCCTGGCCTGTGATTCTTTTATTTATTTTTATTGTATCTCTTTTTTCTGTTCTGTTAAAATGTAGCTGCACATCCAAATAGAAGACAACAGAAAGAAAAATGAGCAGGTGACCATTAGCTGGAGTAAAAGATGAATGAGCCACACATGTCACGCAGCAGCATGTGTTCCTGTCCCTCAGTGTGACTCACCCACTGACAGCTTCCTGCCTGTCTGTCTCTGTTCAGTCTCCTCCCAGCTCTTCCATTTCTGTTTTTGTCTGTTTATGTGTCTGTATCTGTGCGTGAAAGTGTGTGTGTGTGTGTGTGTGTGTGTGTGTGTGTGTGTGTGTGTGTCTGCATTTGAATGTGTGTTTGAGTGTGTGTCTGTGTGTTCGTGTGTGTGTGTGTGTGTGTCTATCTGGGCTATTTGTATCTCAACGTTTTCAGCACAACATCCCACCTCAATGTCCCCCCCCCTCCTCCCCGTCTCTGCTTGCTGATTGGCAGCTGCCTGGTGCCCCCTGATCATGCCCTTTGGTGTTACGGCCAGTCCTGTGAGGCGTGTAAAGGTTGTGCTGAAGAGATTGGAGTGAAAACTGCCAGCCAGGACGCCCGTTGTACAGACAGGACTGCCTCCACGTTCCGGGCCCCTCCGGGCTCCCTGCACCTCATGGTCCCCACACCTCCCTCCCTCTCCCACCCTCCCTCTCTCCATTCCTCCCTTCCTTCCTTACTCTTTCTCTCTTCTTCTCCCTCCCTTCCTTCCTCCTTCCCTCCCTTCCTCCCTCCCTCTCTCTCTCCCTCCCTCTTCTCCGCCCTCCCTTCCTTCCTCCCTCCCTCCCTTCCTCCACTTTTTGAGCCTTATTTTATTCGGGAAAGACGTGCACAGGCCCAAGTGTCCCTTACAGCTAACGGATAGGGGGCCCTTCGACCATCACTGTCACCTGATGAGAAGTCGGATGCGGCATAAGATGCTGCCAGGACCCACCATCTCTGGAGGAAGTGAACACCTGGCTCCCAGCTGTGAGCTGGAATTTCCCCCAATGTCCTCCTCCTACTTTCTCACGTGCTACTCCCTGTCCGTGATTGTCACGGTGCCCAGGTCCCCATCTGCCCTGGGGAGTAGTTAGTCCGTCTTGCTGCTGGTTGATGCTGTGCTGCCACACCAATAATAATAATAATAATAATAATAATAATAATAATAATAATAATATAATTATTATTGTTATTGTTATTATTGTTATTGTTATTATTATTATTATTATTAGACACTTTATTAATCCGTGGGGAAATTGTCTTTATGCCTCCCTCAACTTGCTCTTTGGCTGCGAAGGGCAGCCAACCGTAGCAGTGCCCAGGGAGCTGGCGGTTAAGGGCCTTGCTGAAGGACCCGCAGACGTGCACACCGCAGTGCAATACTGTACTCCCTCAGTGTGCACTACACACCGCAGTGCGATACTGTACACCCTCAGTGAGCTCTACACACCGCAGTGCAATACTGTACTCCCTCAGTGTGCACTATACACCGCAGTGCGATACTGTACACCCTCAGTGTGCACTACACACCGCAGTGCAATACTGTACTCCCTCAGTGTGCACTATACACCGCAGTGCGATACTGTACACCCTCAGTGAGCTCTACACACCGCAGTGCGATACTGTACACCCTCAGGGTGCTGTACACACCGCAGTGCGATACTGTACTCCCTCAGTGTGCACTATACACCGCAGTGCGATACTGTGCACCCTCAGTGAGCTCTACACACCGCAGTGCGATACTGTACACCCTCAGGGTGCTGTACACACCGCAGTGCGATACTGTACACCCTCAGGGTGCTGTACACACCGCAGTGCGATACTGTACAGCCTCAGTGTGCTATAAATTAACAACATTAATATAATAATAATTCACACATGTCCCTAGGCTGCACAGTACTGGGGATTTGGTGGAAGAGCCAGGTAGTTCAAATCAAATGAACTCTATATTTACAAGTCACACTTTTTTACAACGCCTGTTGTTTGATCTATCGTCACTCCTTGGGGCTTGAAAACTTTTAGCTCCTGCATCCCCCAGCACCCCAGTCGACCCACTGCCATCGGACAGCTGGGAAGGCCTACATTAGACGGCGTGGGAACTTCTCACTGGCAGTACATGACTCTTCATGAGCAGGTACTTTATGTGTCTCAGGTGGTTTCCCACAGAAAGCTTGAAAAACTGCTCCTAAGTTTCGAGCACATTTCCCCCCTGAATCATCCAGCCCCATGGATGTAAGGGGCTTTCAAACAGCCACGGAGCTGCCGCTGGTTCTTTTTCCACCACGTGCTAAGGTCTCTGTCACTTCCTCTCTGGGAGCCAGGAGGCGGAGCGGGTGGCGCGGCGCCTCTGTCAGATTGTCCAGGAAGCGCAGGCCTCTCCACAATCGCCTCATTCACTGGGCCGACAAAGAGCGCAGTGACAGGGGAGCATAATAGACAGCAGCATCATGGTCTGCAGCTTCATTCACTCCCTGGCTGCACTTTGAGCTCCTGTTCTACGGTATCTGTACTGTTATTATCTGGACCGGTGCTATTTATTTATGTACTATAATACTGTGTAGCATCACCAGATTATGCATTTACATGTGTACACTGTATGCACCACCCACATCTATTTATACTCTGTACTCGTGTAGCTGCTGCTCCTTGTCACAAATGCACAGTTCGTCTTGTAAATGCACCATTAGATATTTGATGTTGCAGATGTGGCTGATGGGGTGGTACTCTACCCGAAGGGTGTGTCCCACTTGTTATAGACGTCTGGCTGAGGAGAGAATGCGCCCCCTGTTTTCTTTTGAGAGTGTATGCTTTTCTCCTCTGGTTTCCAGGGCAGATTCTATAGCTCTGGTCCGGGAGGGGGCAGCGGGCAGACTGATTGGGTCTTTGCATTTCTCGTTTTCTGAATTGATGTCTTCCCAGTCTGAGTGATACTCTCATCCCTGCTCCTTGGCCCCGGAGCCCTTGAGCTCGGGGAATGACCCATCAGGGAGTCCCTGAGGGCCGTTGTCAGGTGCTCAGGAGTCCCTGCTGTATTTTCTGGCTCCTCCCGTGTCAGGATCTGTGGCCCCAGGCTGTTGACTGAATAGCTGCAGGGTGCTTCCGCCTTCCTGATGAAATGTCCCTTATGATTGGATGTCACCGCCATGCCTCTTGTCGGGCTGCAGATAATTATCGTGATGCTTCACTCATCTGCAGATTCCTAAAAACAGCTCATTTTCACATGGTAGCCTGGAAAGCCCAATAATCATCCTCGAATCAAGGTGGGGGGGGCAGGCTGCACTATGCAAACAGGGAGACATGAGTAGCAAAGGAATCCCGCAGCCATCCCAGTGGCATGTTGGCTCTTGACTCAAACACAGGTGGTTGAAATAATGTCAGTGCTCATGTAGGACCTTTGGGGTTCCTGATAGCCTGGCCCCTCATCTCATCTGATGCACAAGCAGTGATGCTTGGCCGTACACACTGTCTCAGAGCATCGACCACCTGATCGTGGCCAAGTCGGCTTCCATCGGAGCACGGAATTGTTCACACGCTGGCGGGGGGGGACACGAAAGACACATGGAAGGGGGCCTCCACATATGCACCTCCCCATGCTTAGTCAAAGCCAAGGCCACCACTGGAGGTACAGAAACTGACAGCCTAGTGGGTGTGTGCCCTCTTCACTGCCCCCCCCCCTCCATAATGGCTGCTGTATCCGTGTCTGCCCCGGACCTTCCTTAGAGCTAACCACACCTTCCACACATAATGGTGCTGGCATATGTCGACAGGTTTATGGGGGGTGGGGGGGATGGTGAGATACAGCTTTTGGGGCTCTAAGTGCTGGACATTAACCTTTCCGCCACTTAGCTCCATGATTTACAGCCCAGGCGCTTATCAGAGACGCCCGATGCAATCCGCGGGCATGGCGGCTGTCAGGAAGAATGAGGCGAGCACGGGAAATATGGCAAGATGCTGCTTCACACAGCTGGAATGCGACTCTGATTCACGCCGAGGCTGAGGAAACTGCCGGGAATGTGGCATGTTTTCAGTAGCTTTGGGAATGTTGAGAGTTGTAGGCGGCCAGACTGTGTGTGTGTGTGTGTGTGTGCCTGTATGTGTGTCTGTGTGTGGATAGAAAGATATTGATTTATTGATTGATTGATTAGATAGATATGTACTTTATTGATCCCGAAATGTATGACGTCCTGCTGAACAAGACCACAGAATGATCCGGAAACTCCCCAGACAAAAGCATATTTTATATATACTTGCCTCGTCCCCTGTCCCTGCTGTCCTGTGCCTTGGCCCTGAGCTGTGGTGTCCTCAGTACTCTACACTTCCTGCACATCGCTCTGTACTTCCTGTTCAGTCTTCGCCTGTGGTTGTCCACATGCAGACAGGTTGTTATGACCTTCACCGTTGGCTTAGCCAGCTGAGTTGAATGCTCAATGCAGCCTTCATAGGCCTGCACACACTACTCTGTAAATCCATTATAATGTTTCAAGTTTGTCTGTAGACTCATAGATGGTATTTTCTGTAGTCTCATTCGGCTGTTCCTTAGCAGAGGTGAGGAATTTGTTCTGTTTGCCTTCATGCTGGCAGGTGTGTTTCATTCCCCAGCAGCTCCTGTTTTGCCTGCTTGTCGGTCATTAAAGGCATTGGATCTCTCTGTCTGCATCCTGCTCTTTGGATCACAAGCCTGAGCTGTTTGTCTTCCTCTCTCTACAGTTGCCTGGATCGACGAAGAGGAAGTTGGCCGTGGATGAGGGGCCGAGGCTGCCAAATGGGGTCTCTGGTGGCCCCATGACCCAGGGGAGCAGCAAGCGCCCGTGCCTGGACGATGTCACACTGGCCATGGGCCCTGGCCTCCAGCACTCACCCTTCTCCTCGGGAGCTGGGACAGGACCCCATGGCCCTCTGCTAGAGGGCAATGGGTTAAATCACAACGGCCTGGGCTCTCCATACTCCGTACCACCAAAAGCCAGCCCTGACTCGATGGTGGGGGGGACCATGCAGAGTTCATTTAACCCTGGTGGGGCCAGTGCCGCCCCCACAGTGGAACAAGAGCTCCAGGACCTTCTGGATGAACTTACTAAGAACCCGGATCCATCCCTCACAGAATTGGACATCGAGAAGATCCTGGGGAACAAGGGGGATGAACAAGTGGGTGGATCGGGTGGCTTCATACACCCTGAAGGGGCGGGGACTCCCAAACGCTCCCCTCAGGGACCCTCCCATCTGGAGAACCACCTGACCCGCTCTCCAGGCTTTTCCCCGGTGCCTCCAGTAGGATCCTCCCAGGTCGGTCCCCATCCCACGGGGAGTGCCTACTCCCTCTCCCACACGGTAAAGGTGGTCCCTTCTCCTCTCTCTGCCTCCCCGCTCTCTGCTTCATCCTCTCAGAGCCACACCCAGGGTCAGGCCCGCTCACCCATGTTGTCTGCAGCACTGTCCAGTCGCCCTGGTTCCACCTGGCATGAGGTGTCCAGAGCCCAGCAACTGCAGCAAATGGCATCCAACAGCAAGCTCCTGTCCTCCAGCGCCGGTCCCTCCTCCAGCCAGCCGGCCCCTCCCCTTCCAGTTCCCCAGGCTGCCCCTTGGGCTGGACCCTCACCACCTTACCGGCCTGGTGAGAAGCTGGCCAGTTCCTCCCCCCACCAGCCACCTTTCAGTCCAGCAGGAAGTACCCAGAGCCCCCAGGGCTCGCTCATGTCTGGCCTGGGTCCCACACCTCCCAAAGGTCCCTCCCCCCCCTACCGGCCTGAGAAGCTGAGCAGCCCTGTCCTGGCCCAGCCCCCCTTCAGTCCACAGAGCATCCAGAACTCCTCAGCTCCGGTTCTGCCAGGGGTCCCAGCCTCTTCCGGAAATTCCCGGCCCTCCCCACCCTACCGACCAGATAAGCGGCCAAGCCCCGTCCTCCAGCACCAGGGCCCGCCCTCGGCTCCACCCACTCACTTTAGCTCTCAGGGTGAGTCGGCCAGTGCTTCCAGCCAGCTCTTCAAGGCCATGACCCAGAACCAAAGCAGCAGTCTGAAGCTCCTGATGCAGCAGCAACAGCAACAGCAGCCAGTGCAGTCACCTATGCAATCACAGACACAGCCTTCCCCAGCTGCGCAGCAGGTCCTGGGCAAAGTGGGCATGGCACAGGACCCATACTCCTTCACCAACACCAAGCCGCTCCGACATTTCGACCCCATCCTGCCTGCCCAAAATCTCAGCCCCCTGACACCAGGCCAGGCATCCCTGAGCCACTACTCTTCCTCGAGTGTGCAGCCGGCGGTGCCGACAATGGCCTCTGGGCAAGCACAGATGCTGCAGCAGCAGGAGATGCAGCAATGCATGCCACGGGGCATGCAGGCTGGCGGGATGATGCCAGGCAGCAGAGCGGTGAGTAGCATGGCTGTTGTAATTGTTCCCTTCATGTGCTACCACAGTAAATAAGTGGTTGGTGGTTGCTGATCTAGTAGGAGTATGAGCCTGTGGGTGTCACACCTGAGGCTCTGATTGGCCAGAAGTAAAGAATTTTGTAATTTTACATGAGGAAGATGGCCATCTCTCATTTGTGGCCCAGAGGCCTTTTAGGATCACAGAGGGTTATCCTTTTGTGTGTCAATGTTGGAGGAGGCATTAAGGGTTTGGGCCCAAGTGGCTGTGTGGAGATTTTGTGGTTGTGGAAAATTAAGCTTCAAGCCTTTACATTTCTCACAGAAGATGAGATATTAGTTCAGTCAGCTCCCTGACATAGGTCGGGAAGCTTCTGGAAAATCTTTTTGACCTAATGTGAAGAGGAAGCACAAAAACTGTGTATGTTCCCTCAGCAGGGTCTCCAACCTGGCACTATACAGACCTACCTGGCATGGCATATCATTCCTGAAGGAGTTTTATAGACCTAGCTGGCGGGGTGTACCACTCCTGTGAGAGCTTTACAGACCGCCCTGGTTGGGTGTACCACTCCTGTGGGAGCTTTACAGACCCGCCTGGTGGGGTGTACCACTCCTGTGGGAGCTTTACAGACTCACCTGGTGGGGCGTACCACTCCTGGGGGAAACCACAGACACTCCCTCAGCAGGGTCTCCAACATGGTGCTTTACATACCTGCTTGGTGGGGTGTACCACTCAAGAGGGAGCTTTTCAGACCTGCCTGGCGGGGTGTACCCCTCCTGTGGGAGCTTTACAGACCCACCTGGTGGGGTGTACCACTCCTGTGGGAGCTTTACAGACCCACCTGGTGGGCCGTACCACTCCTGGGGGAAACCACGGACACTCCCTCAGCAGGATCTCCAACATGGTGCTTTACATACCTGCTTGGTGGGGTGTACCACTCAAGAGGGAGCTTTACAGACTCACCTGGCGGGGTGTACCACTCAAGAGGGAGCTTTACAGACCTGCCTGGTGGGGTGTACCACTCAAGAGGGAGCTTTACAGACTCGCCTGGCGGGGTGTACCACTCCTGAGGGAGCTTTACAGACCTGCCTGGTGGGGTGTACCACTCCAACATGGTGCTTTACAGACCCACCTGGTGGGGCATACCATTCCTGAGGGAGCTTTACAGACCCATCTTGCGGGGTGAACAATTCCTGAGGGAGCTTTACAGACCCGTCTTGCGGGGTGAACCATTCCTGAGGGAGCTTTACAGACCCGTCTCGTGCGGTGGGGTGTGCCACTCCTGAGGGAAACTGCGGACACCCCCTCAGCAGGGTCTCCAGCATGGTGCTTTACAGACCCACCTGGTGGGTGTACCATTCGTGATGAGCTCCTCACAAGTCCACTTTTTTTGAGGGGAGGGGTAGCTTCCACAATTTTTCTAACATTCCAATTAGTGAGAGAGCCCCCCTGCAACTTAACATCCACCCCCATATGTCTTTCCTTTTCTGGCCCTACTATCCCCTCAGTTTTTCGCAATGGAAAAAGTAAACATTGTTTTTGGCGTCTCATGAGCAGTTCCTATTTTGATATCCCGGGGTGTTGAAAGTGAGCGATGTGTTAACCTATTGGAGAGGCCAGGGCTGGGGCACCTAAGCTGATGCATGAGTGGGCGTCATGTGATTTGGAGGAGCGTGAACTTCCCCCCACATGTTCCCGGAGGGACAGGGGTGGGGGCATGGAGGGGGCGGGGCCCGACTGTGCCGCAAGCGGATTGGGTTTCAAAGTGGTGGCAGCTCACTCCCGAGCGCTATGGTCCCTCTTTGAGAGGAGCGGCACCGTTTGAAGGCAGGGGGGTTGGGGGGGGGACCTCTCTCTTTCAGCCCAGCTGCAGTCTTTCAACAGACTAATAAAGGGATAATGAATTTGGTGGTGGGTCAGGTTTGGCTTCTTGGCCGTTGTGACTGTAGGCAAAAGGGGGCCTTGGTTTAGCACTTCCCCCCACGAAAAAAGACATCTCCTCCCTCTCGGGGCTGCTGCTCCCTCCACCCCCCTGTCATTCCCCTCCTTTGATGTCTGCTAAGCCCCGCTCTGTAAGTGGGCTCCATGGGGTTTCTGTGATTCACTGCAGAGTTGTGATGAGGTACAAAGGATTTGCTGCTTTTCTGTCTATTCATGTGATACCAAACATAAAATTACCATAAAAAGCAATCACCTGAATAAGAAGCCACAAAAGAACCACACATGTATCCTGGGATGGGTGAACCTTCATTTTTTATCATGAACTAACACTACTGGTTTTACCAGAGAGCCTGATCGGTGGTCTTTCTAAACAACCAACCTGTTGGAGTTATGCAGTCTATCTGTTGGTATTAGGTAGTATATCTGTTAGAGTTTGTTTTGTCTGCTGAGATAAATTAGTCTGTTGAGATTTTGTCATATAAATGATGCTTCTAGGTAGTCTACCTGACAGAATTTGTAGTCCATCTGTGGTCCATTGTTTTGTAATATGTGGGCTGTCTGTTAGGATTAGGTGTTCTCTCTGTTAAGGCTAAGTGGTTTATCTATAATAAGTGGGCTATCTATTACAATTAGGTGGTCAACCTGTTTGTAATATCCTTCTGGCTGCCAGTATCAGACGGTCTGCCTGTCGGGATTATCCTTCTGGCTGCCAGTATCAGACGGTCTGCCTGTCGGGATTATCCTTCTGGCTGCCAGTATCAGACGGTCTGCCTGTCGGGATTATCCTTCTGGCTGTCGCCGTCAGATGGGCTGCCTGTCGGGATAATCCTTCTTTTTTGAGATTCCCTGGCCGGCTGGCTGGCTGCTGTTGGTGGCTGAGCTCCTGCTTTAGTCTAATCAGGAATACGCTTCTTGTTTTCCTCTCTGCAGCCCCAGCAGAAGTGCTGTCCTGAATGCGTCGTGTTTGCAAGTGCCTTCGCCCTGCGACAGGCTAATTGTCCTCAATAGCAACTGCAGTAGTTTTCCACCAGTCCCAAACCCTGTAACCTAGGCTGCCCCCGCCATGTCTAGACAAAGCAGTGGAGGGCAGCAAGTCGCTCATTGCTCTAGACCAGCATCCATCACTCCCTGTTACCCACAAGCCCCTACTTCGTCATACAGCAAGCCGTATGTCTCTGAAGGGGCCCATAAAGCCAAAATGGAGAGTGAATATTACCCCCCCATCCCTGCGTCTCCCCTCCCCTGTTGTCTCTTCAGATTTCTTTCTCTGCTCCGTTGACTCTTCATCATGGAAATATCCGTAATTCCCACTTGTGTCAGATTTCATTCATAGAGAGCAGTCCTCTCTAAACACTGGCTCCTCTCCTGTTTCCGGCAGGGCCATGCTGACCACAGCACTTAATCCCTAAACAATCGATAACCAAAATAATACAATGCGTGCAAAAGTGCATAAACGCCTCATTTTGGCCTGCCATGTCTGCAGGGGTGTTTAGATTATCTCAGTGAGCATGTGACTCTCTCTTCAGTTCTTTTCTCTTGTACTTTCTCCCCCCCCACCCCTTCTCGCTCTGATGGATGTGTGTTTCCCCTGAGGCATCGGGGGGGTGTCAGCGATGAATCGGACGCTGAGGCAGCTGGGAGAGTTAGCACACAGTGCCGTACACAAAGGGCTCTGTGTTTACGGTGCATTGGCGTACCCAGAGTGCGGGCTACGTGCCGGGCCTGATGAACGCTGTTGCGGTTCCTGCAAATGTACTCCCTTGGCTAGTAAAAGTAAGGGCCTAAGATGGGGGGGCTGTTTTATCTATACTTCTCTCACACAGCAGGTGGCATGACAGTTACACCCTGTAACCTGAACACTCAAGTTCTAAGAAGTGAAACTCTGAAACCTAATTTGATCTTTTAAATTCTCCAGTAAAAGTGTGTTGGTTTGACTGAACAGGAAGGGAATTTATTTTAAAACATGATAATAGTGAGCAGTGAGTATGACCCATGCAGCGCTCGGCTCCGCGTGTGCTAAGGCTGAAAGGTTAGTCTCTTCTCCTGCGGCAGGGGAGGGGCACACAGGAGCTGGGAATGCACTGTATGTTCAGCCATAGGATGGTTAGTGGCACGACACATGATGCTGGCCTGCGACCTGGTGGACTCTGAGCCCATGGCTGGAGAAGCAGGGCGTGGGGACAGCGTGCGCACCTGCACGCAGGGGGGAGTTGTTGTGGCGACGGCCGTGTGTTTTCCTGTGCAAACAGTACACGTAAGTAAGTAGGTCTGTGACGGAGTTCACCTTGTTCCAGCTTGACAGCGAAAGGGGAGTGCAATGAATCTTAGACATACTCAGATACACATAGATACACAAAGACACACTTAGATATGCACACATGCACATGCACACACATATACTCAAACCTACACACACTCAGACATACTCAGACACACATACAAATACTGTATATACCCACATATTGAGATATACTCACACACACATATATCCATATACTCAGATAAACTCACACATAAATACAGATATATACCCACGTACTCAGAAATACTCACACACACATACAGATATATACTCCGATATACTCACACACACATACAGATATATACCCTCATACTCCGATATACTCACACACACATACAGATATATACCCTCATACTCCGATATATTCACACACACATACAGATATATATCCTCATACTCCGATATATTCACACACACACATGCAGATATATACTCACATACGCAGATATACAGTAAATTGTACAGGCAAGTGGAGCAGATGTAAAAATCCCAATCTGCTGGATCCTGCCCCACCCTGGCCCACTCCCAAGATCTAATTTACAGTCAGATCCACAGCAGGAAGTAAAAAGCTCACCCATGTTTCCAATGTGTCCTCAGCTGAGCCTCCCCCCAATTTCAGATCTGCCTTTAAGTGGGTCAGGAGCTCACGTTAGTGTTTGTGTGTGTGTGCATGCATGCATGCCTGATTGCGTGTGTGTGTGTGCATGCATGCCTGATTGCGTGTGTGTGTGTGTGTGTGTGTGTGTGTGTGTCTGCCTGT